TTGAACACATGATCATTAGTATTAATTGATAAGATAGACATTGTCAAAATGCTTTTGAAACTTTGTATTTATTACCCTCTTTGGTGTACTTTTACTTTTCATGCTATAAAAGAGAACGTTACTTTTTTGAAAAAATAAACTATAGAGATACTTCTTCTAGATATGGAAAACAATTAATATTTCTTCATGAATAATCAGAATCGAAAAAGAGTTCAAAAAATGATCATATACACAAAGTTTCAAAAGAATTTTGACAATTTCTGTCTTATTAATTAACAATAATGTTCATTTGTTCAAATAATGAAGCCTTCGATTCTTCTGAATACTTCACATTATAGATAGTTTCAGACTGATAAAATCATTCATAAAGACGAATGCAAAAGTCTTGATAAAAAAAAGTGAAAATTGTGGAAAAATATGCAAAATACTGATAGATCTATTCTTTATTATTCATTTGTTACGTTTATTTTTTTTTCCCCATTAACTTCAATAAATAAGAAAATCATAGAAATGATTCAACCGTTGTACAAACTTACTTCCGATCAAAACCACAAGGTGTATCAGCACATTGAGTTAAATCTCCAAATGAAAATGTACGTTCATCATTTAAAATAGTATCAACATAATATTTAACTAAATTTAAATCATTTTCTAATTTTTGTGGATTTGTTTGACTGATCTTATCAATATATTCATATCCAATAATCATATTAAATAAAGTTCTTAATAAAAGTAATTTGTATTGTGTACATTCATTTGGTATATCATATTCTGTTGGTTCCAATAAACACATTAATAAATGATCATTATATTCATAAAAATGTATTGTACAATCATCTGTATGACATAAGCGAAGTTGAATACCAAATTTTGTTGAAAATGTATAAGAGCTTGTTAAAACTCCAATCAGAGCAAGTGGAATTTGATTATCTGATGGTCGTTCTAATAAATTTAATATCATTTCAGGAGAGTGTTCATTTCGTTCAAGAATATTTGTTGAACGAACAAGTAACGGATGACCATTATTTGTATTAACAAATACTAAACAGTAAGCCATTGATTTTGAGATTGTCCAACGGTACAAAATACAGCCGTTGGTATGAATAATAAACTAAATCGGCCATCGTATATGCACAATGTCTTGGATATAATCGGATTCGACGATAGAATAGACGAGACAAACAAAAGAGGTCGTAAGATATTGAACAATTGATTGAACATGTTTGATTCACAGGAAAACGATGAATGAATGAACAAAAACGAAAAAATAAATAAAAAAGGTCGATTATTAATTTATTTAGCTTGTGGCTTCATGAGAGAAATTTGAGCTTAACACATTTTCTCTCTCTAACTCATACATAGTCACATTCTGCTATATTTACTATTTCATTTTTAGGAAATTTCAAGAACCTTTGATCTTATTTAATAGGCAAGATGTATTTTTTTTTTACTTATTGAGAATACTTTCTTCAACAAAAGCACATAGAAATAGTATACATGATGCTATATTGAAATAGATAGATTCTTCGAGTTGTTAATAGTCTAATGACGTGAACACTATTGTATTTGTTCATTGGTTCAAACTGAAGATTGAGTTCATCAAAAGACTTTGTGGTACGATTGTTAAAACTTTAGCTGATCAACAGGAAGGCATTCTTAATAAATTTTTATCAATGTTGGCCAGGATCATTATTTTATTGATTCATGTAGCAAGCCTAAGATTGGGTACTAGTTTAGGTAAAATGTAAAACAATGAGAATAAGTTCATTGTTTTCTGGTAATGAATTAGATATATTTCATACAAATCTAAATAAGCATATCGATAGCGTAAAAAAATGTTAAAGTCTCTGATATTGATAGAACTATGGTGGAGGCGTGGAAATATTTGAGAATTTTATTCCATATAATTGGCTATAAGCATTACCGTCTTGAATATTAATTTTTAAAATAAATATGATGTTGTTCAACCGTAATGGTATACAATAATGGAATAAAAGAAATACATTCTATGTCAATATATTACCATGTCTTACAAGATCAGAGATTAAGCATATCGTTGCAGGCTTAAGATTATTGATTGATTGATGATAACACCAATAAGAGAATTCCTCGAATAGAACAATACAAAATCGGTAAGTATTGAGATATTGTGGATTTATAAGAAGTTTGTGAACTGCTCTTGAAAACACATCGTTTTGGTACATATTTGAAGAATCTGTATTCTGTCAATGGTAACATTCGACTTCTAAATTATACTTCACTTGTTGCAAATTTTTAAGACACAATATCTATTCCAATGCTAATGCGAAGATCGTAGGAAATAATTTTTTCACATAAAAATACAAGTTTTTTGCGCCACCTAGTCTACTTAATAAACGTGGGACATCAAGTCAGTTATAAGTTTTAAAGTTTGCTAAAACATATCCAAGTCAAACAAGCACGGTTGTTTACGACTGTATACGTAGAAATACGATGATTTTCATGGCTTAGTGTTATGATTGTATGTTTTCATGTAGTAAAAGGATGAATATGATCATATACAGACTCTACATCCTTCGTCGTAGATATCTAAATCTTTAAATATCTACAGAAATAATTTAGACAAAGAACAATATGATCTACAAGCGAAGAAATAAAAACTTGGCATCTGGAATTGTCAATCAGATCGGTCAACAGTAAACTACTGGTACCTTGAGCTTTAACATTGACCTTTGACCCTGAAGACATTCTTTCTATCATGTCCTTCTGATAACGATTTCAGCATCAGAAAGATATGCAAATAAATAACGTGATATGATGTAACAGTTAGTACAGTTCTAGTATAAAAATGACACACTTAAGCACATTCTTTTTCCAATTTATACATTTTCTATTCCTTTCTCATCTCTTGTTCACTTCATGGGTCTACCTGTACATATATATAAACTATTTCTTAAACAATTTGTATCCAAAGGGAAAAGTACGACTTTAGGATTTCACATATCATTCAAACTTTGGTTTGTGCTGTTCGAATGTATATTGAAGTATGATGAAATATAAGTAACGTGAAAGACGAATGAAGTCATGTTTTTTCTCTATTGTTTCCTAACTTAAGCTTCAATTACTTGGATGCTTTATCGAAATAAATCAATATTTGATTATTAAACATATAACAATCAAACATCATTGATTGTTTATTTTATTATTGGTTCACAAAATTTTTGCATCGATTGTACGTCTATTTGAATTAATTTTAGATGTATTGAAATTTTGATAATGTTGATGATGGAAGAATGCATCTTAGAAACTGTATGAGTATAACGAATTGAAGATTCGTGTATCATCAAAACAATGTACCGGTATGACTAGATCTTTTTAAACGTTATTTTTGTTATCAGAAAGATTCTATGTAAAATAGAAATTTTGAATAACTTCTCAACAATAATAATTGTCACTAACAGAAACCAGTTAATTTATTTTTCATAAAAAAAATCGATCGATTGATCAGTTAAATATTTATGATTTCATGTCTCAGGAACTTCGCATTTTGTAGTCATCAATATTAATGATTGTAAAAGAACTTGACATACAAATTTGAAGATTAACTTTAGGTGACAATGTGCATGTATTCGTTAAAAAATGTGGAATTCTTATTACATAACAGTGAAAGACTAATTTGCATTAATAGCTAAGTAGTAAACAATAGAGACATCAGTGCAAATGTCCAAGAAAAAAGAAGAAAGTCATAATTAGATAATGTTGACTAGCGAGGGAATATATGCAGCTGTCGAACGCTGTTCGACTTCATATTATGGCTATAAGTAGATCGCGGTGAGATTAAGAAGAGCTTAAGAAGATTTAGGCCTACAGTTTATTATTGAAGAGTTATAACTGTTTTAATGCAATTCTTACTGAGCGTATGACGCTTCCAAAAAATCCGAAACAAAGAGTTTCAAGCTGAAATTATGTCTATAGGCAAGCATGATAGTCATCAGATACTCCTAAATGTTTCAACGAAAATGAATATACGTTTCTTTTTCGAGATATTTCATATATAAAAATACAGCATTTTACTATAGGTGAACACAATAGTAATTGAGTCTACTTGGAAATTGAATATCTAGAGAAAGACATGTTTCTTTTCTTTGAAACGGTCTGCACTATCTAATGACTATCAAGCGTATCTATAGACAAATACATCAATAGATTGGCCTGATATGAACAAGGAATTAAAGAATAACAAGAAAATAGTTTTATTTGAATGAATTCATATTCACATTGAATGTTGAACAAATCTCTTAATCGTTTGACGTACAGGTTTGTTGTTAACAAATGAAAAGAAGAAATTAGCTGTTGTAATTGTTTATTCAAAAGTTCATATTTTGCGCTTTTTTTTTTAGTTATACAAGTCCGGCTTGCAATCGTTCGTTCGGCCATTATCAAACTCACATGCTGTTCTATTTTCAAATGTTTGATAGATTCATAAATTGATGAGCTTTTTTGTGTTGACTTCTGAGAATAGATGGATGAGCTATTGTATCAAGGAAAATACATAAGGAATTAACAAGCAATTAAATAGCTCATTGGCAACATTCAGAAGGATGTGGTCAGGAGAAGACAAAAGCTGACACTCAAAACTCAACAAATGTGTTAAATATAAACTTCTTGATGAAAGACTACAACAACTGATTTCAACTATTCGTTTGATAGTAAGGCTTATACATTAAACGAGTAAGGACTCTGTTCAATTTT